GGTTGATGTGTTAATTTAATGTGCGCAACGTGGCCGTCACCAACTATGAACGGTAGGAACTTGATTCCTTCTCGCACCAAAAATTATAATGTTAATATCAAAGGTTTCTACAGTGATAATTGACTTATATGACACTTAAATATACTGTATAAAAATTGGAGAAACGCTTATCTTAATCATTTTATTTGATAATAATCTTACGGATATTTTTTGCTCCTTACTTTGAAGGAAACGTGATACAGTTTCTTCGGTGATGTTTGTGTTGACCATGGCTCATGAGAATCTTTTCATGAAATGAAAGCTGGAAGGTTACTGCTTGAAATAGGAAGAATTGAAAATGTGAATGGGATTATATTTTCTCGTTGTGCGAATTTTTGAGGGTTGAACTTGAGCTATATGCTTGAACTGGCGTTTTTGAATACATTCTTGGGATTTTGCATCGAACATACCTAGTGTACGTTCTTGACACAAAAAGCTAATGATTTTTCATGTGAAGCTGTGGATATGACGAATACACCACAATGAATGAAAGATTAAATTCAAATTTTAATCGACACTTAATAACCTAAGCTCACTTTTACGAATTTTCTTTATATCCACTCACATATAAGTAAATCATAGATGATTGCCCAAAATTCTTCGTTTATCAAAATTGATGCCGTGCTGAAAGGAAGACAAACAAATTTCATGAAAAATTTGCATTTCCCGAACAAGTTGATGTCAAACTCTATCAGTATAACTTGACCATCAAGCGTGGAGACAATGGAAGTAACTACAGTACTTTCGACATTTTTCGGAAGACCTGAACGTGAAACAAATGTTACAACACTTCTGGATTAATCTGAGCTCGCGGTTAGAAGTTTCAGCAGCTATAAGATATCTTCCACTTATGCGATTAGAATTATCAGAAGGACGAGAACCAAGAGCGAACCTTCCAATCATTGCTAGTTCCCTTAAAATGTTGTAGCCACACGACGAAAAACACGGATTTCCAGCCTCCTATCACATAAAATCACAGCCTGCCTTGAAGGAATTTTGAGTAAGATGGCCCCTTAAAATTGGAACAAGTTAGTTAAAAGATATAAGATCAACAAAGAATTCTGGAAGCCGCGATTAGTCATTTTCAAGACTCACCGCCGTCGAAAATAGAAATATCATACACAAAGCTCCTTACATTCT